TTTTAATTTTCTTCAAGTTTATTTGCCGCTCTCCTGTGATTGCTTCATCCCTTTCAATCCGCTTTCCCCAAGGCTGACGAGCTTCTCCTACTCCTCCTTCTCCTGCTCCTTCTCCTTTATTTTTTTAATTTTTTATTGAATTGGCTCTTGTTACTGCTTAGACTTTGGATTGAAATTAAACGAGCGTGGTTTATGGCCGCAGTCTCCGTCTCCGTCTGCGTCTCCGGGAAGGAGTGAAATTTAATCAAGTTATGCAGCAGTGTGGCAAGCAGTGGGTTTGCGAGTGGGGCAGGAGTGGGCTGCCAGCTCAGCAGGCAACAAAGAAAACAAGTCTCAAGTGGATGGCCATTGTTTAAGCCAGGCAAAACTTTGCCAACTCAAAACTTAATTAAAAAGGAAAAAAAAACAGCTCGGGCCCATTGATGCAAGCACCCCCCGCGACTCATGGCACCTCCAGGCCCACTAGTCGAGCACAAACATAGATTGCTGAGAGCCGTGTGTGTTGGATAAGTATTTAAGGAGGCAGAGCGCGGGAGGGAACTGGCCTTGGCACCTCTTTGAGCCCTCGATGGATATATTGGGCCACTGGTCAAAGCTAATGAAAGCCGCGACCGCGAAATTGCGCGTAACTTGGCATAATATTGACCAATATGGTTAATTGCGTATACGCCGTGTGCAGCACACAAACGCACATGCTACATGCTGCACGCAGCGAACTGGAGTGTACTCGAAACTCCAGCTGTACACTCCGACCTCTGACTCTGACACCGCACGCACAGACCGCAAATATGCAAACAGAACCAAACAGCAAAGAGAGGCACACAGGTGGAGGCACACATCAACGTAATAATTGTAATAATACAAATGCCGACACTTGCGGACAACAACTGCAACAATGCTGACTATACTCCGTAGTCGTGTTTGTATCCGTGTCCATGTCCATGTCCATGTCCATGATGTCCCTGGCAATATGCCAAATTGTGTGCAGCACCGCAACGACATCATCTTCATCACCATAAGCATAAGCATCATCATTATCATCATGGAAAGGCAAACGCCCAAGACCAAGACCAAGAACAAGAACAAGACAAGACAACACCGTGTTGATAATGCTGTTGCGTGGCCCCTGAAATGAATTTGCATAAACTTTGGGCCCTGGACCCATGATGGAGAGCGGGGGCTGAGGACTGCCGTGGCTGTGGATGCCCGTTCGAGTCGCAAATTGAAAGATGCCGTGCTGCCAAAACAAAAACCAGAGCACGGCCATGCCAGCAGGTGAACCGAAGCTCCTTCGCCTGCCCCCCACCACAAGCCAGGGGACAAGGGTTAAGAAATAGGTTTAGTGCTGCCACGAAGACAGGATGACTTTATTTGCAATATGGAAATATTTTTCATTACCTTGTCTTTCGGCACCGAGCCCCTGTTCCTGTCGCTGTCCCTGTCCTTCCAATTGGCGTCAGTCAAGATGCCAAACTCTGGCTGTCTCTCCCAGAGAGACGCTCGTACGAGTATCTCAGCATCTCAGCATCTGCATTGCTGCTGGTACATACATGCATATATATTCCGCTGCTTGTTCTGGCTTATTTTATGGCAATATTTTTGATATTCCCTGTTAGACAGACACACATCCGAAAAGCCACTTAAATTGCAATTTTGCAGGCAAAGTGAAGCGAAGTGAAGCCATCACGGTGCGGTGCGGTGCGGTGCGGTTCGGTTCGGTTTGCCATCAGTTTGGCGCTTTAAGTTTGCTCAAACAAACGACAGATTGAAATGAATGTTTGAGCTGCTGCTGCTGCAGACAGACTTTAGAGTCAGTTTAGTTTAGAGGATGGATAACGGTGCCTCTCGATCCTTCAAAGCCTGTGAACAGCTGTGGCCATATGCCAGGCTACTGTCCTCTGCTTCTCGGCATCGATCTCGGATAATGTGCACTTGACGCCACTCGACGCATGTTTGCTCTGGCCTGCCACCACGCACTCAGAGCAGTGACGGAGCCATCGCTGCACTATTGGCAGTGTCAGATGCGGATGTGGGTCGAGTGTGTGTGCCAAAGAGACACAGAGAGAGAGAGAGAGAGAGAGCGAAAGTTGACGCTTGTGGGAATCGATTTGAGAGCCGCGAGGCTGATGAAGTCATCCTGCAATCTGCAGTCTGCAATCCATCCATGCCACGCATACATCCCACAATCAACACACAAATATAAAAGCCAGAGATATGTGTGCGGAATTAGCAATAATCCGTTGGTTTGCCCAAGCATCCCACACATCCCAGATTGTGTTTAAGGCACGAGCGGAAATTGAATTGCCGCCGCTGAGCGGCAGTCTCTGGCGACTTTTAATGTGTTTCATGCAAATACGAATGGTGTCGGCAATAAGCACTGTGCTCCGCTGCGCTCTGCCTCTCTCCGTTCCATTCCTTATGCCAATTGCGGGGCATGGACAACAATTACGCGCATTATCCTTTCGACTAGAGTTGAGCGCGGACCCGGACCCGGAGCCGGCCTCGGACACGGACACGGATCCGGACGATAACACGGCATTTGCTTAAACAAGCATAAATGCGAGATGCTAGGAGGACAGGAAAGAAAAAAAGAAACGGAAAGGCATATTTGGCAGCTGAAAGCCGAAGTGGCGATGCTCTAAGAGGAATTCAAGGATCTGTCCGCTTTCTAGAAGCTGAACACAATCCTTTCCTGGCTTTTGGCTGAGCAGCAGTACCCCCAGAAACTGTGCACAAATCTCTTCTGCTCTACAATTTTCATTTGGCTAAGTAGCAGCCAGTGACAGACAGCGGGCCCAAGGAGGCGAATACCTTGTTAGCCATTCTGGCCAAGCGGCGGGGTTTGCGATGGCCACGTCCATGTGCATGTCCTTCAGCTACCCTGCAGTGTCTGAAAAAACGCTAATTTAATTTTAACTTTCTGCAGCCTTTTTCTGGACTTCCACCCCCGCCCACCAGCTCTGGACTCTGACTCTGGCTCTGGCGCTGTGTTTGATTTCGTTGTCAGCGACTTTGGCACACTTTCGCATCGCATTAGAGAGCTCAGGCGGTGGAGGAAATTGAGGCGGAGATGGAGATGGCGATGGAGATGGCGATGGAGCCAACTCAACAAAAAATAGAAGACCCGAAGCGGAGCGGGCAGCGAAAGAGTAAAAGTAAAATATTTGTCCTGCCAGGGAAGTTGCAAGTGAGCAGCGCTGATTGCGGCACTAAAACGAAACGAGTTCTTGTGCGACGATAAGATTTCACCCCGACTGGCTGACTGCCTGACTGACTGGCTGACTGGCTGCTTGCCCCAATGTAATCGGCCCTGAAGTTTGGCCATTGCCTTAGACGCAGACCCGGACCCAGACCCAGATCTGGAATCCAGATCCAGCAGCCAACCCACCCTCTGGCCTCTATCTAATGTTGTTGGCAAACTTTTGTGTGACTGGCTTTGAGGCAGTTGGCACCTCGGTCCTCGGTTATTTACGCTGCCACGCCTGGGCCCGACAATCAACGGCAATTTGCCGCAGTACCCCAGGACTCCCCAGGAACACCGAGCACACAGCAAGCGACGTTGACCGAATCCGAATCGGAATCCCAGACCCCATCCGCATCCCCATCCGCATTCGTATTCACAAAGCATCCGATAAGCATAACAGTTGTCGCCAGGAGTGGGTCTCATCGTGTCGTGCCGCTGGCTCTCACCTCTCACGCAGTGGGGCTGACGGGGTGCTGGTTGGGGGGATGAAGGAATGGGGGTTGATGGAGGTGCGTTGCCAACAAATCGTCGCCAGATGCCGGCGACAATAAAACGTTTTACAATGTAACCAAGGCGACGACAACACGCTGCTGTCGGACAAGCCCAAGCCCAAGGAGCGGAACCTGCCGCCAAGTGGGTGGGACGCCACACCACCCGCACCCGCACCCGCACCCGCCCATGTGGCAATAATGTGCAACAAAGTTAATAATTGTTTATGGCAACGCCTTCGATTGGACTTTTATGTCTGCCAGAGCTGAGCCAGGGTAACGACCCTCAAGTTCATTCCAGCTCGACCCCTCCTAGGCGCAATGATTGAGTGCCCATTCGCATTCGCATACTCAGAGAGCACAGAGAGGTCGCCCGCCAGCTACGACCACCGGCGATGGCGTTAGCAGTGTAAGTCTCTCAGACTCGCAATCTGCCAGCCTCAGTGTGTCAGATAAGCCTGACTCGCACAACAAGCAAGATCCATTGTTGCGCTCCGATCGATTTCAGACTGAGTTTCATTCCATCTCCGCCTGGTGTGTCCACCCTCATCAGGGGTGTCCCACCATCCCAGCCACCTGCCTGGCTTCATTATATGGAAACTTTGACGTCGTTATTTTGCATAATTTGCGTTTCGCTTGAATGCAGCATCCATGCTATGCAGAAGTACATCCATACATATATTTCTATAACTACGAACAGGTTGGGGCTCAGGCTGGCACTGGGTGTGCTGGGATAAAGCAGCAGCAGCAGCAGCAGCATAGATGTGAATGGGGATGAATGCTGTGCGTGGCTTGGCGGTTGTCAACGTTACCTTGGCACATGCGAAACGTGAACTTTGCGGCATCAAGTTAATGATTTGCACTTGTTAGAGCCCCTCTGCTGACGCTCGGAGCTAGCAAAGTAATGAAGTTGATTTATTGTATTACAATCCGACTGCGGCTTCCCTTCCCTCACCCTTCCCCACCGTTTCGGTCTGTTTCTGTTCCGCGATGCCGAGAGCATTGAACTCTCCCCAATTGAACGACACAAATAGATTTGGATCCATTGTGGCTCTCACGCCTGAAGGAGATCTGAGAACTAGGCGTCTGTCTAGTTCCGTTAGAGCGCAGAACTTCCTTTGCGTCTATAAATAGACGAGTTCCATCCGACTCCGAGGCTAGAGTGGCAGACGCGCAGACACGCAGACACGCGTCTGCGATCGTCAGCTGGCGGAGCTATAAATAGAAAGAAATGCCTGGCAGCCGCCGCCACCACCCAAAAGTGGAGCCCAAACGAACGTGGGACGAACGGGCGAAGGGCCTCAGTGTATCGACGTACGCGATGGAGTGCAGAGGTGTTCCCATTCTTCCGACCTACGCCCAAGCCTGGTTCGTAACGTGGTTTGCTCCTGACTCTTCCTGGCTTCAACTAATCTTCAACCCTCTAATCTGTCCCTTCCGCCCCAGTGGAGATGTGGTGGATGTCTCGCCGCTGCCTCGCAAACGGTCCCTGTGCCACACGCTCTTCGCCTACCGGACGCTGAACGATCCCGTCATCATTCTGATCACCTTGGCCGTGGTCGTCGGCTCCTTCTGCCTGCTGAGCGGCTTCATTTTGCTCTGCGTCGTCTCCAAGGCCTGGCAGGACGAGACCTCCGAGGCCATACTGCTAATGGGTAAGTGCAGCATCCCAGTCCAATCCATCCCAGCCCCAGTCCTAAAGAATACATCGGCTACTTAGGCATTGGCTTCTTCATCACATCCCTGTCGTGTGTCTCGTGGAAGTTGACGAGAGCCCAGCGCCTCACCCAGATCGTGGAGGCCATCAACGATCGTGATCCGACGGAGGACGGAGGCTTAAGTCAAGTGTTGAGTCTTAGTTAGGTGCCCAGCACCTCTTTGTCGATTAAATTATTTCCATTCACGAAGCAAGAGAACTCTGTTTATGTTTATCCAAGATAACTTTATATACGCTTGGGCCACATTTGGGCGCTGCTACTGGGCCATTTTCTGTGAGATCCAGGGAATGAATCTGGCAAGGTCCGTGTAGACTGCTGTCTGATCCGCGGCCGGGTGTCCCAGCTGCTGGTGGCCACAGTCTTCGGGGCCGTAGCTCACGATGCCGATCTGCACGAAGCGCTGGATGCTGTTTTGGTACCTAAAGGCGTACAACAACGGGCCCCCAGAGTCGCCCTTGCAGCTGTCCCGGAGCGAGGCACTGGCGCAGATCTGGTTCCCGGCGATGGATCGGTTCTGCAGGGCGCTGCAGCTGGCGAGGGGCAAGCGGGTGATGCCAGCCTCCAAGGGCACATCGGAATCATTTCCATTGGCATGCTGCCTGCCCCATCCCGTCACTCGCATGACTGGCATCTCCTGGATACTCTTTTGCAGCTCTGCGTAAAGGGGCAGGCATATGGGAGCGATGTGATCTGCCTCAGAGGATCCCGCGTTACCACCTGCACAATCATGTTTTTCCCTTGCCGCAAGTGCTTACCCGTAAACAGCACTTCCCGGGACAGCTTGATGAGGGCTATGTCATTATGTTGCGTGTATTTCGAGTACCCCTCGTGCCGAATGACCTTATCAATGCCTACGTCCACGTGGGGCGGCTGGCAACGTACCTCCGAGTTCACAATCCTGCAGTCCTGCTCAGAGGTTATGTTGTGCTCCCCAAGCCTCACTGCCACGCTGCTCAGAGATCAGAACTAAATGAAGTGGGTACACGCTGAAATCTACTTACGGCAATATATCGATCACGCAGTGCGCGGCTGTCAGAACGAAGCCTGCTCGCGGTAGGAAGAACCTAAGCTAAGGTTTCAGACATTCAGAAGTCAGAAAACTCGACTTACGTGTCGCGATAAGCGTTGCACCACACAGAAATTGATCCCTTTCCCGGCTGCCGGGAACTATGGCATTGTACCTGAGCAGTGCCATCCAAGGCCGCGAACCCATCTTGATTTCGGTGCCGCCAAACACCTTGGGACCCGTGAACTTGCCGCATGCCTCCTCAGACTGATGTAGCAGCTGCAGTCCCGCTTCGCTCGCGTGATCTTCACAGCAGACGAATGTCTGCAACGGTCCACAGATAGTTGAGTGCGCATCCCAAATCCCGAATCCTTCCATCCTGTGGCTCACCTGCTTGGTTGAGCAGCCAGAGCTTTCCTTGAGCCTCGTTTCCTCCTCCGTTAGCGCTAGATTGCCCTTCCATTTCGCAATGAGTTCATTAAAGTCTGGGCATTTGCTGTAGTGCCTGCACCAGCCAGGCCTGTCCCTGAAGGTTGTGCAGTAGGAGGGATCTGCAAGAATTGTGATTCAGCAAAAGTTCCCTCTTCCCTTCCAGCATCGACATACGGGGTCTTCCTGCTGTTCCTGCTCCACTGTGCGCCAGCGACACCAGACACAGACATATTCCCAACAGCATTGGTGCCGTCATTCTCCACAAAGCTCTTCCGCACGGACTGAGCTGCGATTAGTTCCGACTTTGGCATTTGTACTCCACATCTGTATGCTGAAATTCGATTGAAACACTTGATGATAGCGATTCCCAGAGAGAATATTCCCCTCTCTCTCTCTCTCTCTGTGGACTAATCGCACGCTCTTTTGAAAAGAAAGATTGTAAGAGCGGCCTTGTTTTCTTTGTTCTGCGAGTTCCCGCCAGATTACAGCCCTGACCCCAGAGCATCCCTCTACGAGGCAGCTGTGGCGGGACAAAAGGCAGCTGCAGCTGCAGCTGCAGTTACAGGGCCTGCTTATGGCCTGTCGGATTGAGGCCCTACCTGAAGAAGGGCTCTGCTGCAGCCGTGCGTGTTCAGTTCGAGTCGATACCTTGCCGAAAGATGCCACATTTGCAGCGACTGGAACCGTATTTGCCGCCAAGCTGGGCCAGGCATCCCATCCGCCTCGCAAGAAGGCTCTGGCGCCGCTGCACCCAACTGTCGCGTAGTCCAAAGTTCCAGCGATACGTGAGGTAAGAGAAATGTCTTCCATTCCCTCCCGCAAGAGCCATACCCAAATCATTTGATTGCTTCAGATTTCTACAATCAAACCTCTGCCCCGTCTAGTCTGTGCGGCATTACATTGGTGGAGAGGAGATCGGAGCACGTTCAGCGCATGACAGCATTTGGCTGCAAACGTTCTGTGATTCCACCAAAAATGCGCAGCAATTCGGAATTTGTTGCTGCTGCTGCTGCTCTCTGCGGATTTGGCTACTCAGGGAGTCGCCGCACGTAGACAGAGGGGTTGATGGATGCCAAAATTAAGCACACACTGCGCATTATTTATACCCCATTAGGCCCAAAAGAAATGGCCAACGACCTTCACCCACTCCAAAGCAGCAGCCGATCCCAGAGTACTATTGGGAGGAAGGCTGGAAGGAGATCTACTCCTCACCATGGTCCAGAGAGGTCCATCTGCATGCCAATGAATTGATGACGACAGGGGGATCGAACGGGGCAATACCGTTTCCCCGGCTGGGGATCTACCCAATCTCAAACAGTAGCCCCAGCAGAGACATGCTGACCACCATGGGGAAAACACAGCGAGACGCTACGAGAACGCTGCCAGTGCAATAAATACTTGGCGCAAATATTCATCAGCATTCAGTCTCGTTCCAAGTCTCGGCCCGAGCGTGCCAGTACAGATTGTCAGTCGATTGTCGAACCCGTTGCCCCAGCGAAATACTCTGAAAATGTTCACCTCTATCAGATCTCACCAGCATCGCGCCGTCGGCCTCATCTTACGGGCCCTCGTCGCTGGCAGCCTGCTCATCCTGATGAGTGCCATCCACCAGGACACCGACGACTCCGGCTCCCACTACATCCACCCGCGTCACGCGATGCAATAGCCTTGCATCAAAGATAACTCAGTTTTAGCGTTTAGCTTAAGTGCAACTAAATTCTAATCAACAGTTCACAGTCCGTTTCCTGATGGTCGCGATGATCGTGACTGCGCTCACCTACTAGTAAAAGATGTAAATAATAACCGGTTCCGGCCAGTGCGACAGTGGGTTTCCCTGATGCAGGGGAGGCTAAAAATGTCGTTTAATTATTACATATAATCGCTGCCTAATGCATTTGTAACTGTCCAATAACTCGTTGGCTATGCATGAAGCAGCTCAACTCTCTCGTGTGCCAATTCTAAGTGTGTTTATTTATTTATTTGTTTATCTAAGCGGCAGAAGCACATGTGTGCCAGCCACCGAATATCTTTCTCTTTCCTTGACACAGTTTATTATTAAGTTCTATACTTAACAAGTTAAGAAGTGGAATATTGTATGTAACTCTTCTCTTATTTGAAAAATATAACATAAAATATGCAAAACATAAAGTATAACGTTGTGAGAATCTTTTAGCCAAGTATTGGGAATAAAATGAGTAAAGGTTTCTGCGCTCATCTCCCACCTCTCACGGTTTAAAAAAAACAACATTTTCAAAACGAATACGAAAACATAATGTAATCACATATTTTGGGTGGACTGATATAAGGTGAGGCATAACACTAGCGAAGTTCATGCGGAAACAGTAACGAGAGAGACAGATAAACAAGAACTCACCTCACCATGCAATAAATCCATGCACCATGCGCTCTCTCGCTCCTTTGTTATGGCTTTTCTCATCCTCTTCACACCGGCAATTGCAGGGAAGGGGAAACATCTTCCCGAATTTTCTGCACAGACAAACACACACATTGTCAAAGAACACGGGAACGAAAAAAATGTTGTATGCATAAATAACTTTATATTTTGCACATCTAATGCAAATGCATCAAACACCTTTCACACTTTACTTTAACTTCTTCCTTATTTTGCGTTTTGTGTGCCTTTTTTCCGACACCTGCCGGCCTCATTGAATGAGGAACTTGTATTTGCCATTTTTGGGCCGTTTTCTTTGTAACCACTTCACTGCAACACTTCACTGCACCACTTAACTGCACTGCACAACTGCGCGACAATTTTCCAATTGGATTTTTCATAATTTTCCAGATTTTCACGACTCGAAACGCGGAGCTGACTTAAAACCGCGCGCTTTTTCCGAAAATTAAAATCAAAGAGAGCGGCGCAAATTTGAATGCGCAGGATGCTTTCATGCTCTCTTCCTAATTGCTCTCTCATTTCCTCTCTTGTTTTATCACTCATACTAAACGAGAGCAAGCGATCTGTGCCGTTTACGAGTGACCACTTGTTAATGCAACGGTTAATTTCAAGAAGTGGTAAAGGCTTTTTGCCTGTGTTGGTAAGGGATTGGTGAGGGGGGTTGTTTTTTTGGTTGTCTTTTTATGTGTGCTAAAAAGAAACAGCAAATTCTGCAACGGACATATGTTAAAAGATAAAAGAGAGATCTCTTCGGGTACCGGGTAAATATGTATTTAAAAACATTATAATTGCGGGAACTCCAATGGTCACCCTGCGCACGATGCACACCTTGCAGTGTTTTGGAGATGCGCGATATATATCGATGGGCAAATGTCTAGTCGATAGTAGAAAACACCTTGGAAAGCTGGTGTATGGCGATAATCCCACCTCTACTTGACAGTGCTGCCCATTAAAAAATGTTTAAACAAAAAATTTAATTGAACACGAAAAATGTGACTTTCGAGGACTGAGGATCAATCGCCAAGAATTCCTCCAAAACGGAATGGGTCTAGTTAATATTCCCGGAAGAGCCGTAGGAGCTGGCAATACATCTCGACCACACAGAGCCTATGGGAGAAAATAAAGAGGAATGGGCAATCGGAAGAGCCACAGCACCGTTATGCCGTACATGTTCACGGTGTGGGGGGATAACTTCTGCCTGAAGTGGGCCCTTCCAAATCACATGGTGTATATGCAACACAACACAACACATTCTTCGACAGGGAAACCTACACAAATACCGGCCTGCTACGTACACCGAAGACTAATCTGCTGAAAGATGTGATCTTGAAGCTGTGGCATCACCCAACAATGCCAGGCCAAGCATAGAGCGACAAAATCTACACCAGAGTTAAGAGAACACAAAAAATGATCATAAAACTGATAGACGCTGACCATTTCGTTGTCTCATTTGGACCACTATTATCAGATAGGGCATACAAATTCTTCGATGCGTATAATTTGGGGTGGAATATGTGAGATAACAAATTGACAAAGTTCCAAGGAAAATATAAATGTTTATTTGCAGTGACCAGTTCCCAATTGCGCTGAAAACGAGTCAGCTCTGTGCCGGACACCCAACTGGCAACCTCTGCAACGGCGTCTCCGGCGGCCCCTTGGGCAGATTGCTACGGTACAGGGGCGTGAGGCGTTTCTTCCAGTTCGGGATTGCCAGCTACAAGCACGAGGGCTCACAGATGTGGTCAGTCATGCAGCGTGGATCGGACGCGTCGTTCTAGAAATTTGGAGGAGAATTAGCAAGTAGATCCCGATACACTGGAAGGGATCACGCCATTGCTCGTTGTACATTTAAATGCGTCAAAGTATAATGAATAGAAGGCCCTTGGGTTCTCCATTGGGTTAAAGTTATCCCACTGCGGTCGGGGTGGGTGGCTATGGGCTATGGCAATACCATCGCGAAACAGGGTCAAACACAGGGTGGGATGCCATGGCAACCAGGCGCCAGGACACAGGACTCGACGGGCAGGTGTGTTGGGGGTGTGTTTGATGTGTTGTTTGCGATTTGTTTACTTCGTGGCTAGCAGCCCGAGCAGAAAGTGTCAGGATTTGAATGAGAAAATCACTGAAATGAGCTCTCGAAGTGTCATGATCACGGATCTGGACCAGACCGACCACGAGGAGGCGGCGGAGGAACGACCGCCCACGCAGCCAAAGAGGAATCGAAAGCCGCTGCAGACGCTGTCGGGAAACTTTAGTCGCCGCTCGAGAAGCGTGGAGGTGGAGCAGCGCCAGCAGGCAGCACCCGCCCCTAGGAAGGATCGAAGGGATCGCACGCTCAACGGATTGGTAAGCAGCTCCTCCCCCAATCGACTCTTGGCCATGTCTCAGCCTCGTATCTCCTGCAGTTGCAGGCCAAGGACCAGCAGCTGGAGCAGCTGGTGCAGCGCCTCTCCACCCTGCACAAGTACAACGAACAGTTTGCCAAGGAGAACGAGCGGTTGCGCAGTGACAGCTCCCAGCTGGAGAGCCGCCTGGCAGAGGTGGAGCAGCAGGTGACCGATTGCGTCCGTTGCCAGCAGCTCAACCAGAAGCTGGCCGCAGTTCTCGGACAGAACCGGTCGCTGGCGAATGACGTGGACATGCTGAAGACCCTTGTCTTCCGCCTCAATGTGCAGATTGAGAGCTACCAGGATCAGCGCAGGACAGGCGAGAAGGAGCCCACATGCTCGGCAGTGGCAGCGGCAGCGGCAGCGGCAGCGTGCACCTCGGACTCCACCGGTTGCCAACCCCTACCCACGCACACCTTGGGCCCGCTGCTGCACGCCTACGACGAATCCATCCGCGACAAGGACGCTCTCCTGGCGCAGTACAACACGGAATTTGAGCACTTTACGGGCGAACTGAAGCGCGCCCTGGAGGATAACACAAAGCTGGTGAGTGAATAATCCATTTGTCACCATCCTCTGACCACTGACCACTTCCACTGATTCCCTTCCAGCTGCAGTCGCAGGAACAACTGCGTCGCGACTTGGGCGGCTGGCGGGAGGAGCGTGTCTGCCTGCAGGCCCAGCTGGGCGTTTGCCGCTCAAAGGCAGAGGCGCAGACCCGCAAAACCGATCTGGCCAAGGAGAAGCTGGTGGAGGTGATGCACTGCTACGAACAGCGGATGCAGACGCTACTCCTGGACATGGACCACCTGCAGGCGGCCTACGCACGCACCAAATCGGAGCTGGCAGCTCACAGAAGCGCCGCCGCTCCGAATTCCACAAACGCAGCCAACACTGCGGCAGCAGGAGCAGCAGCAGCAGCAGCAGCACCACCACCACCACTCGAATCGGAGGCAGTGAATCAATGCAAGACTCTGCTGGAGGAACTGAAGCAGGAGCACGTCAGAGAGCGCACTGCTTTGCAGGATCAGCTGAAGGCGAGCTCCATGCGAGCCTCCGCCCTCGTTCGCAGCACGGAGAAAGCCAAACACTCCCGGGACCGACTGAAGGCTCGCCTGCGCATGGCCCTGCAATGGGCGCAGAAGCTGGAGGCGGGCCAGGCTGAGATGCGGGACACCTACGATGCAGTGCGACGCCTGGAGGTGCTCGTCAAGCACAAGGAGTCGCAGCTGCGAGGCCTGCACGCTCGCAACATCGAGGAGCTGGACAAGCTGCGCCGCAAGCTCGAGCACAAGGACGAGACCATCCGCACCCTGTTGCGCGGCAAGCTGGAGCGACGTCCTGCCGTTGACTAGACATGCCTCCAGCTGTGCACATGGTTAACAATTAAAAATATATAATTTCAATACAAAATACATTAATAACTTAACGTAGAAAGCTTTCATAGCTCGAGATGCGAAGAGCATCAGCCAGACTCCAAGGGCTCAGCCTCATCCGGGGCTTCTCCGCCGTCGCCACCGCCACCGCCTCCGCCTCCGCCACCACCACCGCCCCCGCCTGCACACACCACGCAGGCCTTGGGCACCGTGTGCTCTATGTACATGGTGATACGTTTGAGCACCTCGGGTACGATGCCTCGCATCAGCTGCTCGTAGCGGGCGACACCCAGCTGCGACTGTAGCGCCTGCAGCTGCCACTTGAGGTATTCGGTGAGGGGGATCTTATAGACGGGGTCCTTGAGCACCAGCTGCCGATGGCGGTCGTCGTGGTAGGTCTTCATGGGATAGCCCTTCGAGTGGAAGTCTTCAGTGCATAGCTGCTGCTGCAGCTCGTCCAGTTCGTGCTCGTCGTGAATGACCAGGGAGTCGTAGTAGCGGACCGTTACCGTGGCGTCACCCTCCTCCGCCGCCGCATATTGCTTGTCCATGACCTCGCCGAGCGTCTCGTCCACCAGCTGAAGTATGTGCGGCAGGCGGGCCAGCAGCAGGTCGTTGTTGCCGAATATCGAGGCGAAGGCCAGGCAGAAGAGCTTCCTCTTCTCGGCATGAGTGTCCGGCACCATGCGGAACATGTCGATCCACACGTCCAGGATGCGCGCAAGGGCGTCCGTGTGGGGCAGTTGCTGCACCACCGACATGAACACGGCTTGGTCGATGAGCAGCGTCCTGGCCACAATGGTCAGGTACCAGCCCATGGTCATGGGGTACTCCTGCTTGAGGCACACTTGCTGGAAGACAAACGGCAGGGCGGGACGCACCAGCCGCAGCCCCATCGTCGCGTCCGTCTTGAGGCAGGTCTCGAAAATCCGAAGCATGGCAATGATGCCCTCCACGCGGATGTCCTCGAAG